TATTTGTTTGAGAGCCATTGGAACAAATAAATAAAAATGGTGGATCCAAAAAGCTGTCAAGCCCAAATTCAAATCTATTTTTGAAATTCAAGGCACAATCCTATTGGATCACATAGTGTAACGGAATTTTAAGGGAGCCTAGGCATTTACCATATCACATTTATTTGCCGGGATTTTCGGCAAAATAAAGTTGTATTTCGACTACATTACTTATTTTTTGTTTCATAAGTAGGTTTTCGAGACTACAAGTATATCTGATATAGGAGCTGTATTCACCCCATTTTGGTTAAGGTGATGGACGACTGACTGATTGTTAATTTCTCCCACAATGATATGAATAGTCCTAACGTTTTTTCGAAGATGATAAAGTAGTAATTGCAAACGCTTATTCGATCAATAAATTATTTGAATCTGATAAGTCGGTATGGGTAATAGTAGTCAATTGGAGCTGCAAATTCGGCAAGTAAAATTAGAATATGTAAACAAGTGCTGGTACTTCAAAAATGCCTATTTCTGCTAAAGGTTTAATAAGTGATATTAAAGTAGGACAGTGGGTAGCCAACTGTGAAAAGTATGTTATACAATTAAAATCATTAAGGTACGTTGAACTTGTGTAACTCAAGCATAAGAGCTGAAATAAGTGACTAGGTCATAATATAAGGATATATACCATCCGGATCAGTCGCCAAATAGTCTTTGCCAGTGGATGGAGGAAGATTGCGACGAACAGTTGCAAATCCTGATTCCTCATCATCGTCATCCTTGTCCTCACCTTCTTCTACGTCACTTTCACCGTCACGACAACCAAGTCGGATATCCGTCATACGATATATAGACCGGCTGGCTTTCTCAACCTCAGAATCTACTCGTCCGATAAATCTTCGGGTGGAGCAGTTTCTTTTAGAAGAGCTATCAGCATCTACATTATCAACAGGGCCATCGGAGCCACACGTGATGATGGCAGCAGAAGCCACAGGGTTAGACCCACCAGCGTCGATAGCTGCCACTTCGGCATCAGCAGCATTGTCCGCAAAGGCAGTGCTATCCGACCAATCTGTTGTCAGGTGAGGCCGGCGATTGCCTGATGCATGCCAAAAGAGGTCAGAGTGGTTCTGTGATTCGGCAACCATTACAAGCCCCGCCTGGTGTGCACAGCAGGTAGTTACCCGGTGGTAGTTGGCGGCTGCTACAGCAGCAGCTGCATCCTCAAAGTTATCTTCATCGTCGTCGTCATCATCATAGCTTATAAAAGCTGAAACGATGTCCTGTTTTTGGCCCTCCTGATCGTGCTTATAGTAAGTCTGAAGCTTAGCCACATCTGGTGCATCAATTTCCACCTCCCCTGGGTATTTTCCTTCTTCTGCAACTATTTCCTGAGCTTTCGACTTGCTAAAGCATGGCCGTTCTGACAAGCCGAGAGTTCCCTGGTAGGAACGTGTTGCAGTGGCTGGCAGAGACTCAGTGCCAGGCTGGTCCTCTGCTAACAGGACCAAGGAATTGAGGAAAGATGGTGTATCTGACTGATCATTGTTGGAGCAGGTCTGTCCGACAAAATGTGCAGACTCTTCAGATTCAGCTTCAAGCCCTTCCTCATCTGCTTCGTCATCCGAGTAGAAATTCATGCGAATAATCTCACGCCGACGAGAAAGAACCTAAAGCATAGAATAAGCCAATATGAATAACCAAATTTGAATTAAGAGCAGTTCTAATTTTCTCCAGCTATCAAGACAGCTTTTAACTATTATAGCAATGCAAATCTTGAGAAAGCGTTAATAAGCTATATTCATCGAAGGTTTGAAGATCAAGATGGTGTGGCCTTTTGTGTGGTCGCAGTTGTTTGACCTTGTTTTCACAACTTGGTCATATTGGTAGGAAGATTTAGAGGAACGTACCTAGCCCAGAGTTCATTGTATGCATGATCGTTTCCAAAGTCGGACCGTGAACGTGGTACCTTCCCAGATGTTTCGCCGGTATCGTCAGTGAGTCTCGCCATTCTTAGCACCATAGAACAGCTCGTCAAAGAGACAAGTAAAGCACATCCTTAGACCAAACGTGCGCTAAACAGTTGTGGTATCTCCCCTTCTGCCCTAGGCTATTCACATTTCCTATATTCTCCTATCATGCCTTTGTTTTTACACTTTTATACCGTGTTTATTTCGATGCAGTGTGGTGTCCCCCCTTCGAGCAACATTCATGAAAACCCTTCACACTCTACGCTATCGTTCTCATCCTCTTTACCCTTGTGCTGGGAATGTTGACCAGATTCTGCCATATTGTTACGTAATCCTCCTTCCCTAGGTCCTATCAGAGTCCTACCAAAGACGGATTCTACGCGGCAAGAGGGAGACTCTGATAGAACCCAGGGAAGGAGGACTACGTGACAACATAGCCGACTCTGATCAACATTGTCAGCACAAGGGTGAAGAGGGTTTTCATGAATGCCACTCGAAGGAGCACATCACACTACATCAAAATAAGCACGGTAAAAATTGTAAGTGAATGTGTGATAGGAGGATATAGGAAATGTAAATAGCCCAGGACAGAAGGGGAGATACCACAACTGTTTAGCACACGTTTGGTCAAAGGATGGGCTTCACTTGTCACTTTGACGAGCTGTACTATGGTGCTAAGAATGGCAAGACTAACTTACGATGCCGGCGAAACGTCTGGAAAAGTACCACGTCCACGGTCCGAATTTGGAAATAATTATGCATACAATAGACTCAGGACTAGATTCGTTTCTCTAATTCTTCCTACCAATATGACCAAGTTGCGAAAACAAGGTCAAACAGCTTCTAAGCTATATTTATACCCAACCAAAGTGACCAAATGGAGTAATAAAAGCTTAAATGATATATTTCAAAGAAATATAGCTTTAAGCAAAAGAGGAAAATAATTATTTCTCATTTTTAGCTTCAGAAGAAGGTTTTCAAGACTACTAGTAGATCATATATATGAGATGTATTGACTCTATTTCGTTTATACCGATAAAGGGACTGGTATTTAAATTTTCCCACAATAAAATGAGTAGAATTTACGCCTTAAATGAATTTCACATAGCTTTGTTTCCCAAAAGGTACTCTCATCAAGAGTGGAGTATAGTTTGCATCTCGCCTAGGTCTCATCAGCACCCCTAACTAGACTCGAACTATGACAGTGCAGCGAATAATCTCGATATGTTAACCACTACTTCTGTTCAATCTTTGTGGGATATATCCTCCTCCCCTTGTCCTCGTTTCTAGCATTGCAACTCTATCTTTCGACTCTACTTCATATGGCCTATTTATCTATTCACATCATTTTGTGTCTTAGTTTGCTGCAATGTTACCTAAAAGTGTGTCACTTCAAGCAAATTTAATGAAGGGTGATCCGCTTCCCCAGAGGTCTCAGATGCCGTTCGCAAACTTTCAGCTGGCTCCTGCTACACATGAAAAGCACAGTCTAACTGGCTATCTGTATACATTTACTTTAAGGCCATGTTTATGTCATATTCGAGGATTTCAAAAACGGAGACTCCTATGCCTACAGTCCCCTAGGCATAAACAGCTTTAAGGCTTTCTTTAAAGGTTTCCCTAAGTCTGGTTTTAGGCTTCTCATTGGGACCTTCCACCACAGTTTTACACACATGTTTAACAAAGTCTCTACAAAAATAAACCAGAACCCACTTGTAGACACGCAAATGGACGTGAAAAAAAACTAACCGAATCATTCCATACCTTCTAGAGTTAATATTTTTTGGAGTTTATCATACATGTATAGATGGATTAGTTAATTTTATTAAATCCTTGGGATAATGAAATGTTTAATAGAACGATGTCCAACTCTGGAGAGGTATGTCATATGATAAATTAAATCTGAGGATGTTTTCACTGGAAAAGAAGGACGGTATGTCGTTTTTTCCAATAAGCCATTATAAAACAACAGAAAATAAGAATGTATTATTGAGCACAGTTTAAGCTAACTTAAAGATACTTTAAAGCAAAACTTGTTTAGAGCTAGGCTATTAATAAAAATGAATTTAGCTCCACATTCAAAATTAAGCGCATACTTTTAGCACACTAAAGGTGTTGTTACAACCTGATTACAATTGCCTCTGCTAAAGGAATGAATAAGACACGTATGGACCGGAATGGAACAAATAGAAAAATGAGATATGGCGTAGATACATCTTTAGTTAATTCGTTCTTTCAATTTGTAACTCAGTAAGAATGTGTTTACCTTTGCACACAAAGCATGTCCGTTACGTAAATACATTTAAAGTAGGAAAACGTGAGAATGCCGTTCTTGGAAGCATGAAAGTAGGTAGATATTTTCGTGAAGTTAAACGAGTTTCGTGAAAAAGTGATGAAAAATGAGTCTCTTCATATTTATCTTAAATTGTATGTATCTATTTATTAGTAATGTATTTATTGTTTCTGCAATAATTCCTTCTATTTTATATTTAGAAAAGGAGTAATAGGACAATGGCTAGTTACAGTCCTTTAACCTCTCAAAACAATCTTCTTTTGAATCACTCACCGGGACTACATAGGCGAAGGTTTTTTTCTGACTATTATACTAAACTCGATAAATTTAAAAACAAAAAGGATAGTGCATAGGAAATTTTAAAACTAAGGATCAATTATATAACAATACATCTCGATGACCTATAATTGACTAGTTGATACAATTATACTCTTTATACAAGTTAAAACGAAAGACTAGTCAAAAGTGCCAACTTGAAGGCCCTGCATATTTTTGAAGGATCCGAATTGTATATGGTAGGAAATAGTGCAAAACTCCAATTACACACATGCTCGATACAACATATAAACACAGGCATTCATTAAAATATCTAAACATTCACGCAGTAAGCACCTGCTCGAAAGATTCTCTAAGTGAAAGGCAATTCGGAGGGAATTCTTTCATATGAGATGATTTGTCCGACCCTGGAGAACTTCGGTTTTTTGGGTCAGGGAGTCCAACGTTAGTGCATGAAATCGATAAGTCTTTAGCATTGACTCCGAAACCACCTTTACTAGAAAACATATGAAGCTGAGCATGTCTAATAGAACTGTGTGGTCCTTCTTCGTCCAGGTCTGCTCCTGGACACAGCCCTTCTGGTTCACCTCGGCTGCGCGGCCCAGGACTAGATGACAAATGGCCAATTCCAGAATCCTGCTCGGCCACTGAAGATGCCGATTCAACACCAGATGTATTCCCAGACCAGGCTGGCAAATAATTTATGGAAAGGAAAGGAGGAAAAAAACAAAGATTAGAGAAGTGGAAAATGGAGTGCAGCATAGGATAATAGCTATGAACGATTTATTAACTATTGTGGTACCAACCAAATTTGGTGTCTTCTGCATCGCTGTTTGGCTTTAAAAATCAACCGGTATATTGTGTAGTAACTAGCTATGAACACTGTGGCTCATTTCAAGCGCGTAGTCAGGACATAATCAGACAATAAGATGTAAAATAGAGTATAGAGTTTGGCTACTCATTTAACTAAGTCCATTTTAGAGTCAATAAATAAGGGGAGCATCCCTTTTTTAACAGAGCTAAGTATTTAGTGATAAAAAATGAAGTTATCTTAGGTTTCCCTAAATTAAATGGATTTTGAATCGATTAGTTCATCTAGTTTTGCCAATCACAACCAGCAGTTTTAATATTAGGTATAATTACACCAAATTTAATACTGCCTTAGTTGAATCCTGACTGGTGGGTGATGAGGAAACCTTTTGTAAAGACAGCATCCCAGTTCCCTTAAAGACTCACATTGTTGACTCCTCTCTATGGGCGCACTGTTGGTAACTTTAGAATTGCATTTGGTCCCTCCAGGTGCATCAAAAGCATCAGTAATCTGGGCAACAGAAACTACTTGTAGCCGAGCATCGCCGGTCATCTGGCCCTTAATTACTTCCTGATCAATGAGGGCAGAGGAGTGAGAAGGTTT